CCTCCTCCTCCTCCTCTTCCTCCTTTTGCTCCCCCTCCTTCTTTTTCTTCTTCTTCTTGGTCACCATGAGCTGAGCACCTTTCCTCCACCACAGGCCCAACAGCAACAGAACCAACCGACCATGGACTGAAACCTCTACAACTGAGAGCCGAATGGTTTTCCTCCTTTAAAGCTGGTTATCTCATGTCTCATATTATCCCACAGGGCTCAATATCACCTGAGCTGAACAGAATGAGCCTCGAAAGACTCTGTGGAGGTTCTGTCTACCCAGGCTCCCATTACCAGAGGGTTTCCCCCAGGGTCATCAACTCCTTGCATCTGCTGTTTGCAAACTCCCCAGAAAGCCTGAACAGCGTTCCTCAGCTCTGTGTGGCTGAGGAGCCCAGAGAAGAAAGCAGCATCTGGCACAGAGAGGTTACACATGGACTTGGCTCTCAAACTGTGAAATGGGGCATAGAAGATGACCGTCCTGACATGGTATTAAATAATCCTCCAGGCAATGATTACATTTGATGTCCTGGACAGAGCCTGCAGGGCCAGCCTCTGCCTGGTCAGTTACTGCCCCCACAGACGTGGGGCAGCCTGTTCCAGGCCTTAATCATTGAGGCTTTAGAGCACTCCAAGCCACCATCTGTCAGAGAGGTCTGCTGGGTTCCCTGGGCCCCACAGGGGCTCTCTGGTCCTCACATCCTGGAGCCAGGACTCTCGCTGCCTCCTGGGGACTAATCTCTGGGTGGATTTCCGGCTTTGGTACCTTGCAGCAGCACCTCAGGTGGCTGAGGGCATGGGGGTAGCAGGCAGGCCAGGCTTTTTGGAGATTGGTCTTGAAGAAGCCTCCCAAAGGAAGCCAGGTGGGTGGGCTAGCTTATTCAGGCCCTTCGCTTTTCCTCCTGGAAGCTGCTGAGAAGGTGATTGAAGGAGGTCTTCAGCCCAGAATAAGGCTGGAACCTGGGCTGGATGACCTCTGCATGACCTCCACCTCCAGAGACCTTGGTTGCTGGTCAGGCCACTCTGCTCTGCTCTTCTGCAGTGAACTCCATTGATCACCCTTCTGGGACATTCGGTAGCTGCTGGCCTTATTATAATAGCTTTCCAATGGTTCCATGCTCCAGGGCCTTGTTTCCTCTTCCTCCCTGTTATGGCAAGGGAGCTGGCCCAGTGCCATCAGCAAGGGGTGAAGCTCTGAGCCTGAGTACAGAGAGGGGGGCTACTGACTGGCATTCTGGGGTGCGGAGAAATATCTCCCTAAGAAAGAGGACCGAGAGGTTGTCATGCAGCGGGAGGAACTTGGATTTGGAGAAGAACTTCACAATTTGTACTGATATCAACATGCTCCAATACGCTGAGCACCTACTGTAGACAAGGCATAGAGCTTCCCCTTGGAGATGCTGAAGGTGAACTTGTGGGGACTTGTAAAGAGCCAGCCACCTCCTTTATCCCATGGACCTCCCTTCAGCCTTATCTCCTCCCGGGACAATACTAGCTCCTTCCTTCTGACCTCAGCCTAGGGTGGCACAGGTCCCCTCATCATGCCCGAGGCCCTTCAGCTGGGAAGCGCCCTGGACTGTGCAGTTCCTCAGGTTTTGTGCAGGGCCGAGGAGTTTCTTGGGATGTAGAACTTTCAGTGCAAAAAAAAAAAAAAACAAGAAAGTACAAGGCCACCTGGACAATCTTGTCACTCTTAGCGTGTGCCTGTGCTGGGCCCTCAGGATGCTCCTGTTGGGGTGGCAAGCTCATAAATAGACATATATAACCAAACAGATGCACAGGCCAATCTAGGTTACAGGGGATCCCAGACGGGGGGAAGGTGTCCTGGCCGAGGTGTGCTTAGGCTGAGTTTTAAAAGGAGGACAGAAGCTTTTAAGTCAAAGAAAACATTATAAGCAAATGTGGGGGTAGGGGGTATATGGGGCAGTGAGACTTAGTGCTGCAACCTGCACAGCCATTAATTCAGAACCCAGCAAGGGGCAATGGGAGATTTGGAAAAAACAGACAGACTCACAAAGGGGAAATCTGGGAGCAGGTGGGACACCATTCTCTAGTGGTGAAACACTGACCCAGAGCTGGCTCAGCATGTTTATTATATAGGTTTTATCATCAAAAGGGTTTTTTTTTGGTGAGGAAGTTTCTTCAAAGCAGGTAGGCTGAAGGACAAAGACTAATTATAATTACCTTTTTGTCCTTATAAATCTCCACCCCTGGTAGCTGGTGTCTGAACTCAGGGACAAGATGGATGTTCCTGTACCTTGTACAAAACCTCTTTAAGAAGAGCGTCACCACAGCAACTGGGCAATCTTTTTTTTTTTTTTTAAGATTTCTTTTTTATATTTATTTTTTAGTTGTAATTGGATAGAATACCTTTATTCTGTTTATTTTTATGTGGTGCTGAAGATCAAACCCAGGGCCAAGCATGTGCTGGGCGAGCACTCTACCACTGAGCTACCTCCCCAGCTCAGCAACTGGGCAATCTTGACTTGCACCTTTGCACGGGAAGTTCCCAGAGCAGGCACAGGCTCCTGCTGCAAGACAGTCAGAGATCCTGAGCCAAGTCACCACTCCCGCTCCCCGCAGTTTGGGACTTCCAGGGATCTGTGCCAGTGATACAAATTCACACGCCAGCATGTGTCCCTCCCCTGGGGCTACATCCTTCTCTCTGGAGTGTGTGCAGGCTGCCCAGAGTTTTGTACACACTATCCTGGCACAATCTGGTCCAGAATCTCTAAATAATAGACATAATCATATTCATAGTTTCTCCTGCTGGTTGTAGGAGGCAGCCTTTGAAGTGCAGGCCAGGGAACCAGGCAGAGTTGTCCTGGAAGAAGTAATAAGTTTGAAGCCAGGAGGAAAAACTATGCTTTGGTGCAGTCAGGGTTGAGGGAGGGAAATGGGGAAAAGAGCAATTCTGGAAAGTTCAGGCCTGAATTTGAGGACTTTGACCTACCAAAGAGACTGGGGTCTAAAGAGTGGAATTCCAGCCCCCCTCCATTGCATGCTGATGCGGGAAGCAGTGGACACATAAGAAGTCATCTCTCAGGTGTTCCCAAGGGCTTGTACAACAACAGGGGCAAAATGTCCTGGTACAGACTACCTTGGTTGCATGGTTGGCTTTGAGAATTCCAGGCTAGAATCCTGTCTGGTAAGTTCCAGGTCCATTTCTCTTTGGGGGCTGTCAAGTGTCCAACTTCTTGAGTGAGACCCAGGAGTTTGCCATTAGACTCCCCCATCCTGTATCATACTAATGAGCAAAGGTCAGAGTTGGTCTTCAGAGTAGATCTGAGACATTTCCCCAAGAGGTGACTAGAAAGTCATGAGGCAGATGTCTCTCAAAATGTATTTGGGCCCCTTGTTATCACAATCTCCTGAGGTACTCACTAGGAATGTAGTTCCTAGGCCATGTTTTAGAAACTCATAAGCCCTAGGGGTGGGCCCCAGGAATTAGCATTTTTGGACATTCTTCTGCTTCATGTAAAAATCCTTTTGAGGGGCAGTTGCTATTTATTTATTTAATTGGGGAGGGGGGTGCAGGGATTGAATTTAAGGGCACTCAGCCACTGAGCCACAGGCCCAGCCCTATTTTGTATTTTATTTAGAGATAAGGTCTCACTGAATTGCTTAGTGCCTTGCTTTTTCTGAGGCTGGTTTTGAACTCACGATCCTCCTACCTCAGCCTCCTGAGCCACTGGGATTACAGGGGTGCACCCACAGGCAGTTGCTATTTACATTAATAACAAAGCTTTATATCAAAGAAATTCATCTCTACTGTAAAAGTTTCTGGGATCAGCCAAACAGGGTTTCTCAGCCTTAACCTGATACTTTGAACTAGATAATTCTTTGTAGTAGAGGGGTATTAATGGGTAGATATAAGATGTCCCCCTAAAACTCCTATATTAATGTAGGAGTGTGAAATGATTGGATTGTGAGAGCCATCACCCAGTCCATCCTAGTTTAAATGGACTTACGTGGGGTTGAACAAGTAGGGTTGCCTGGAGGAGTTGAGTCATTGGGTGTTTTCCCTGAAAAGGTACATCTTCCCTTGACCCCTTCCCTGCACCCCCTTCCTCCTAACCCCATCATGAGCTGAGCAGCTTCCTCCGCTGTGCCCTTCCCTCGTAGCGCGCTACCTCATCTTGGGCGCAGAGCAATGGATTCAGCCATCCATGGACTGAGACCTCTGAAATCGTGAGCTCTAAATAAAGAATTCCCTCTCTAAGCTGTTCTTATTGGCAATCCTGGTGACGGAAATGCAAAAGCTGACTAAAACAAGGGGCTATCCTGTGCATTATAGGATGTTTAGTGGCACCCTGGTCTCTAGATGTCAGTAGCACCCTGCAGTTGTTGTGACAGCCCAAAATAGAAAAATGTCTCCAGACATTGCCTACTATTCCCCAGAGGAAATATATCTACCCTTCAAGGGGGATTTTGTCCTGAAATCTGGCCTTATAAGGCATGTGTGTAACCATTCTTGGAATGACCACCCACCAGGCCCCACCAGGCTGCATTCTGGCCCTCCTTACCATTCTCCAGCTGCAAATGGGGCTGCAGCTGGTCGGGTGCTTGCCTCCTTCCCCACAGCCCACCTTTTCAACTAATCCCTCTCTGTTCCTGACACACTGCTTGCATGGTCCTTTTTGCCTGGCACCTACACAGGGAGGGGCACAAAAAACTGGAATATGAACTATGGACAGAGAGCACAAACCTACCCTCCCACAAGAGTGACAAGGCTCCCAGGAGGTGACATATGCAGAATTCTCCTTTTCCAATAATAGGAAGTTTATTTTTTCTCTCATTATAAAGTAAACATCGTCACAGAAGAAAATTTGGCCAGTATAGAAAAGTATAAAGAAGAAATAAAGGTCACCTCTTATTCACTGTTGAGAGGGCCAATGTGGACAGGCAGGAGGCCTCCCCCTAGGGCTATGATTAGCACCCTCACTGATGTGCATGCAGGAATACCCAGGCAGGCAACACGGGACCAAGGGCAATAAAAAGCATTCCCACTCTTCCAAGTTCATTTCTGCTTTATTCAGATCCAGGTGACTCAGAGGCTTCAGGCAGCCTATGTTGTAGGAGAGGGAGCACCTGTTCCCCAGCTCACTCTTCAAGAACCTCCTCCTGCAGGTGGAACATCAGAACTCATCCTTTATGTCAAAATGGGGCTGATCTTCAGGCTTGAAGTCCAGGTTGGGGCTACCGTCCTCATTGAGAATTCTCCGGGCTGTGTAGCCAACGATGGGGTATTTGGCCTTGTACACCCTGGTGAACACGTCGTCCAGGGACTCCAGCTCCTTGGCTGTGAGGCCCGTCTTGGGGAGAAAGAAACACAGGGGTGGGCATGAGTGAATCGGGTTTGGTGTTGGTCTTTCTCTAACCCTGTCTCACAGCGTTCCTGAGACCCACATGCAAGAGAAAAAAATATCTTGACGAGCCACATAGTGTGTGGGGATGGGTTATGGTATGGGGAGAGCAATGGCTTCACCATTTTTTGCTGTTTGATGTGGGAATTAAAGACCCTGTAGAGAACACCATCCTGGGTGGGGTATGCCTTGGTACAGCCTGTGTCTACTTTCTCTGTCCTGATTCCTCTTACTGCCCTCTCTACTCCTCCTGTTATACATGAGGTCCATGTGTCAAAGTCTCGGTCTCTGGGTGATACTATTGGGAAATGGTGGAACCTTTAAGAGGTGGGGCCTAATGGGAGGTCACTGGGGGCATGACCTTGAAAGGGATTGTGGGATCCCAGCTTTCTTTTCTTTCTCTTTTGCTTCCTGGCCCTGAGGTAAATGGTGTTGCTCTGCCCCATGCTCCTGTCATCATGTTCTGCCTCATTACAGACTCAAAAGCAATGGGGTCAGTTGATCGTGGACTGAAACCTCTAAAACTCTGAGTTGAAATAAACCTCTTTTCTTTATAAGTTAATTATCTCAGGTGCTTTGTTTCAATGACCCAAAGCCAACTAACATATTTCCCCTTTTCTTAATTTCTTGCAGCTCAAAAATTGGATTTCATCTCAATGTTGATTTGATATTGAGCACATCTGGGGCAAATAACAGCCTTATTATGGGGATCAATTTTTTTTTAATGCTATATTCTCCTTCACAGAAATAGGAGCATAGAGGGAGACCTTGCTTTTCAGTCCAGTTCATTCACTAAGCTACCTAGAGTGGCTGGCAGTGGGGCAGGTCTCAGAGGTGAACAGCAAACCTGAAAGAGGCTGGAATGTGGTGAGTGCAAACTGTGAGAGGGATCAGGCTGCCAAGGGAGGCTGGAGCCAAACTATGAAGATCATTGAGTTAGATCACAAGTTCACAGGAGTTTGGACCTGATCTTGGGAGGTTTCTGAGTAGATGTGACACAGTAAGATAATCTACTTAAGAAAGTGACTGAATACCACACCAAGTAAATAGGCTAAATTTAAAAGCTCTGCTATTGCCCTCAGGGTTTAAAAAAAAAAAAAAAAACCATGGCTGAGGGTATGAGGCATTTTGTCAAAATCCCATAATCTGGCTTACGATATCATGGGTGAGGTCTGCAGGATCCAGGGACATCTTGGCCACTCCTCTGGTGGAGTCCTTCCCAGTCAAGGCATTGTAGGGGGCTCCTCGTCCATAAAACTCTGTATTAGGGAGGAAGGAAGAGTGTGGGTGTGTAGGTGGCACAGCCAGGAGCCTGCACATGGAGGCTTCTGAGGTCCCCAGTGCAAAGAAAGACTGCAGGCCCGCAGACAGACAAAGCTACAAAGATAGAAAGTCCAGCAGCCAAAGATAGAAAGTCCAGCAGCCGAAGATAGAAAGTCCAGCAGCCGGCTCCCGGCCAGCAGGTGGGATTTCACTAATTCAAACATGGAACAAATCACGCACATGAGCTGAGAGGTGACTTGGGGGGAAATGCAAAATGAAATTAGTCCTCTAAAAATATTATAAATGCAAACAAGAAAAAAAATGTCTGGCCTCTTTAAATATTGGTGGATGCCGAGTCTATGTCTGGTCATCAGTTTTGGAATTAAACAAAAGATGAACCATTACAAAACGACTTCCATGATATCATTTGTAGTTATAAGTAGGGAAACCATTATTCAGTGGCATCAAAATGTTCTTCGATGCCAACTCCTTGCTAAGGAATATTTTTCTCACTGCTTCATTTAGAGTCAACCATCAGGTTTGAATCTGATTCTATGGGCAATGGGAAGCCATGGGAGGCTTCTGAGTGGGAGCATGTCGTTAACAGGAAAAAAATCTGTTGGTGTAAAACTCTGACAAAGATTAACTCAATTCTGGTCATTTAAGAGGCAAGGAAAAGAACTTTCCCAACATTGTCTTCCTTTCCTCACACCTCCAGGTACCCACTCTGGCTCCCGAGATCCCCCAAAATAAAGACTTAAAATGCCAAACCACGTACCCTTTCCAGAAGTGACATCAAACACCACTCCCTTCACTGCCAAGTAGATGGGTTGATCTTCCTAGAAAGTAAGGGAGAAACTGTGAAGGGGAAACAAAGAACCCGGCTCTTACAGGACAGAGTTAGTAAAATCTCTTCCCATCACGAGCTGTGCAAAGAGCGGTGGATACATCACAAAGCCTGGCTCTCAGCAAGCTTGCCACCTTCCCCAGCAATGTCACGAATGCTCTCGAAACCTTGAAAAAGTCACAGCATCATGACAAGAGCACTGCAATCCCTTCCTTAAAAACAAAACAAAACAAACAAACAAAAAAAAAAAAACAGGAATTGGAACAACTTCTTGCAGATAAAAATTCAAAAGAATATTAAATAACGAATGATTTAAATCAGTCCAAATGTCCCCATCATCCATGGACATACACAGATACAACCAGTGTAGATGATCTAGTTTATATTTCAATTTTTGTAGGCAACATTTTTTCACTTAACATTTCCACATATTAGAAAAATGGCTTGTCACTTAAACAGCTCCACGGGCCCCTATCTTATATGAGTGACACCATACTATACACCTGCTTGTTTAGCTAGTCTTCTGTCTGGGGCTTTTGGATATTTCCATTGCTTGGAACTATAAATGTGAGCATTATGAATATCTTCCTATAAATTACTTTGTAATTTGTCAAGTTACTTCCTTGAGGTTTATTTCAACATATGGAATTCCTGGGTCAAAGGACACAAATAAATTCCTTTAAAAATCATTAAAACATGTACAGTGGCAGAAATGTGCAAGCAATGCTGTTTGTCCACAGTTCTACTAACAACGGGTTATATACTTTATTTTGGCAGTATTAGTGGCTATAAAATGTTCCCTTAGAAACTGTACTACCCCACAAAAAAAAAAAAAAAGGGAATAATACAAAAAGCACAGGGAATCAGGCTGGGGTGACTGTCATGGTGCCATGTCACCAAGGATCAGGTCTCTCTTCCATCTCAACCCATCAGGGTACAGATGAGCAGGAGGCTCAAAGGCCCGGTGAAGGGGGAGTTGCTGCTGGGTCTCGGGATCTTTGGCTGCTTGGCTTCTCTCTGGGGCAGCCGTGGGGTCCTTGCTCTTGTGGAGCTCACGGCCAAGTGTTTTTTGACCACATTTAACAGGCAAAGGAGTTAAGCAACTTACACAAGGAAACGTACCCCAATGCCACATGACTTGTCGGGCCTCAATTTTTCTAATGTCATACGGGGACCCCACCTTCCTACCCTGCAGGAGTACTGGAGGAAATTGTGTTTGGAGAACCTCCCAGCCCAACATGGGAGCTCAGTAAATGGTTGGCTTTTGTTATTCCCTAAAGACAGGCCTCAGAACTTCCCTGACTTTGTTGACACTTGTTAGGCCTCACCTAACAAGGGTCATTTAAATGGAGTAGCTTCACGTGGCAGCAGACTGCACTTGTCATTGTGTCAATTTACCGCCCTTCCTTCACGGTAATGACTTGTTCCTCAGCTTCGATTGCTTCTCAAGTGGAGTCATGTGTTTATATCCATTTCTAAAATACATTACAGCTATAATTACAACAGTTTGTCATATTTTCCATTCTGTGGACTTTTCTTTGATATTTTTTCTTTTTCAGTGTGCAAAGAGTCATAGAAACATAATATACATGCTATAAAATCATGCATTTTGACTGGGTGCAGTGATGTATGCCTGTTAATGGTGAGGCTGAGGCAGAGGATCACCAGTTTGAGGCCAGCTTGAGCAACTTAGTAAGACCTTGTCTCAAAATAAAAAGGACAGGGGGTATAGCTCCAGAGAACACCCGGGTTCAATCCCCAGTACCAAAACAAAACATACATCTTTATCACTAATGCTCTCCACTTCTTCAACAGTGAAATATTTATCTCCTCATTAAACTACATACTGAAAGCTGGGGAACTCATAGTGAAGGGGTAGAAAGGTGTGTTTAGCACTCCTAGGGACGTTGCTCTGACACAGATGTGGCAGAGGTGAGCAGAGGAGGGGTCTTATCAGCTAAACGCCAAGTGAGTGGTGCAGAATAATCTGTTAGCTGGAATCCACTGACAGCAGGGCCTCACCACAGATTTTCAGGTCTGGGAAATGAAGACCAAGAGGGCAGAGGGTGGGCAGAAGCCCTGGGAGCATAAATAAGAAGAAAGGAGAAGAAACGAGAGACGTGATAAAGTCATGCATTCATCACCAGCTTCACCCCATGATCTCTCCATCCCCTCATCGACCTGGATAGGTGAGATTTTTTTTTTAAATCTTTATTTTATTTATTTATTTTTATGTGGTGCTGAGGATCAAACCCAGTGCCTCACACATGCTAGGCAAGTGCTCTACCGCTGAGCCACAACCCCAGTCCTGATAGGTGAGATCTTTTGTGCCCATTTAAATGACCCTTATGGATGTTCATTTTGGAGACATCATTTTATCTGTTTATGACTATAGCAGGTCATAGATAATAGCAGGAGGGTTGTCTTTTTACCAACAAAGCAAAGTAGGAGTCACCATGGTGTCACAATCTAAGTGCAAGTTTTCAAGTGAAACAGGCCTGGCTTTGAGTTGTGTAGCCTCTCTGTGTCTCAGTTCTCTCCTACACAACAGGAGGATAATAAAAGTCCTTACTCAATGAGTTAAGATTCACCGAAGCAGGCTGGGTTGTGGCTCAGTGGTGGAGCGCTCGCCTAACACGCATGAGGCACTGGGTTCGATCCTCAGGACCACATATAAATAAATAAATAAAGGTATTATGTCCACCTACAACTAAAAAATATTTTTAAAAAAGAGAAAAGATTCAACAAAGCAAGATATGAAAGGCCATTAGCAGTTCAGGGAAATAAATGTTACTTTCTTTTATCATCCTTTAAGTTTTAAATATTGTAAAAGCAAAGAGGAATCAGATAACCAAGTGGAAGGAGATCACAGAGTTTCCTAAAGGAAAGTGTGTTGTTGTTGTTTTGTTTTTGTTTTGGTACCAGACATTGAACCCAGAGGCACTTAACCACTAAGCCACATCCCCAGCCCTTGTTTTATATTTTATTTAGAGACAAGGTCTCCCTAAGTTGCTTAGGACATTGTTAAGTTGCGGAGGCTGGCTTTGAACTCGAGATCCTCCTGCGTCGGCCTCCCTAGCTGCTAGATTGCAGGTGTGCACCACCTTGTCCAACTGTTCCCCCACCCCCCACCAGTAATTCCCAAGTGATAAGGACTTTGGAGGAATTTGAAGTTGAAACAGGAAGTGGCCTTGAAGACAATCTATCAACACCTTCATTTTACAGATGAGGTTAATTGGGTCCAGGGAGTTGAAGTGACTTGTCCTGAGTCACAGAGTGAACAGAAGGGAGGCAGGACCTAGAACCCAGAGCTTAGGGATCCAACGTTCAGTCCACTCTCTTGCCCTTCCCACCAGATGGCACACCTGCACTGGCCTAGCTCTAGGAGAGGAACAAACAGGTAGTGGGTGAGAGGGACCCTACAGAAGGAGACCAGGGCCTTCAGTTTGCTTTTGGCTCTTGGGTTTGCCTCACCAGCTAGGTTTCTTTCCTTCCTGTGGTCAAGCAGGGGCCAGTGGAAAGTGCCATGACAGTACCACATTGTGGGGGACACAAAAGCAGTGGAGCAAACAGCCTTATCCCTCAACTGGCCAGTGTTTCAGAGCCTCCAACACCCTCAGACCTTAGACCAGAGCCTGAAACAGAGGAGTTCCTCACTGGTGACTCTTATTTATTTATTTATTGTTGGGGGTGGGAGGTGCTGCAGATGGAGTTTTTGTTTTTTTTTGAAGACAGGATCTTGCTAAATTTCCCAAGCTAGCCTCAAACTTGTAATTCTCCTGCCTCAACCGTATGAATAGCTGAGATTATAGACATGTACCACAGTGCCTGGTTTTGCATGGGTTTTTTTTGTGTGTGTTTTTTTTTTACAGAAAAAAATTCTTGCCCACCAATCATCTAAGATCATATTTTTCTTTTCTTTCTTTGTCTTTTTCTTTTCTGGAGCTGGGGATTGAACCCAGGGATTCACACATGTGAGGCAAGTGCTTAAACCACTGAGCTACATTCCAGTCCTAAAAAATGTGTATTTCTCACCACAGAGGCATTGGTAAACTATGTCTGGATCGTGGGATGAATTTAATGATTTATCAACAGCTTTTTGTAAAAATATTTTTTTTAGTTGTAGATGGACATAATACCTTTATTTTATTTATTTATTTTTATGTGGTGCTGAGGATCGAACCCAGGGCCTCACACTTGCGAGGCAAGTGCTCTGCCACTGAACCACAATTCCAGCCCCTCAACAGCTTTTTTTTTTTTTTAAAGACAATGAAATAGGAACTAGTAGGAGAGTTTGATTAGCTTTAATAATAAATTAACAAAATAGTAACAGTTAACATTTATTAAAGTTTATGCTAAGCATTATGCCAGGCTTAGTCTAAGCACTTTGCATATTACTGTCAAATTTTTTTTTTTTTTTTTTTGAGTACTGGAGATTGAACTCCGGGACACTCAACCACTGAGCCACCTCCCAGCCCTATTTTGTATTTTATTTAGAGACTGAGTGTCACTGAGTTGCTTAGTGCCTTGCTGGCTTTGAACCTGTGATCTTGAGCTGCTGGGATTATAGGCATGAGCCACTATGCCGGGCTACTATCTCATTTAACTCATTATAACCTTTATAGGCACTCCTGTTACAACCATTGTGATAGCTTTATGTTGATTTGGATAGGCTACTGAACCCAATTATCTGATTAAACACTCAATGAGGTGTTGCTATGAAGGTATTTTGGAAACTTGATTAATATCTACCATCAGGAGATGATGATCTGATACTCTACATAAAGGAGAGTATCAGATAATCTGAGTGGGCTTGATGTGATCAGTTGGAAGGCCTAGAACTTTCCCTAAGGACAAGTCTGACTTGATCAGTTGAAAGGTCATGAGGTTTCCCTGAGGAAGAAGTTCCTGATAGCTTGCCCTACAGATTTTTGACATTCTTAGCCAGCTCCCGTAATTGTGTAAACAATTCCTTGCAATAAGTCCTATCCCAGGAGCTGGGGAGGCTGAGACAGGAGGATTGCGAGTTCAAAGCCAGCCTTGGCAATGGCAAGGCACTAAGCAACTCAGTGAGACCCTATCCCTAAATAAAAAACAAAATAGGGCTGGGGGTGGAGCTCAGTGGTCAAGTGCCCCCAATCAATCCCTGATACCAACAAAACACTCTAAGAGTCTTTCTGTCATCCCAGGTACTATTGTTGTATCCTCCATTTTGAACTGTCTTTCATTGGATTCTGTGCTGAGGGTCCCCAGGACCATCCCACATATGGAAGAAACTCAGTATTCACGGCTAGAAGGGGAAAAGAAAGAGATAGAATCTGGAGTAAACTCTGTGCAGACTTCTTTAAACTCTCTTCTTCCCTTGACATACCCTTCCCCCAGCAACACAATGCAGCCCCCAGGAGCGCCTTGTTGCCCAGGGAAGCCCATTTAGAGACTCAGCACCCAAGTTTTGTATTGGGAGCTGGTCTGAGTGCTGCTGCATACAATGTTCAACATAAGCCACACTATCCATATGCACAGCAGAGGCAGGTAAGCCACTCTTACTGTCAGAAAGGGGTGGGAACATAGGAAATCCAGTCACCAACCAAGGGCCACCCTTGCAAGCTGGCCTTTCTAGAGTGCAGGCCTGCCATGTTAACTCTTCTCTAAACAGATTCCCTGACTCTGCACCCAAAGATTGCATCTCTTAATACCCAGTCACTTCCTTGTTGTGTCTCCCTCCTATGTCTTCATGGACCCATAGTTCTAACCAACCTTTTAAAACCTGATGCCCAGGGCCAGGATTCCAAGTCTCCCTTAAAATCCTAGTCCATCTAAAACCTACTAGGTCAGAGAGTTTGAGCAAGAGAAGATCCAGCCACTTCCTGCTCTACCATTAATGGGTGGCATGCCTGTCTCCTCATCTATGAAAACATTAAATTGTTTTCCCCAGCTCTGAAATGAGATTATACTGTGCTCTCCCCACCAAACCTAATGTCCTGACCTCCCCTTCTAACGTTGCCCTGCCCCCAGGGCCCTTCTGAGTACCGCCTGGTTCCCTCACAAGGCATGGGGTCCCCCAAACCTGACGGGCAGGTGGTTGTGAGTTTCTGGAGTCCTCCACACTACTGGCTGAACTGGATGTGGGAATGGGTGTGTTGGGGGATTTTGTCGCTAATCCTTTT